TCCCCCGTAATATGCATGCTGCCGGCCTAATCACACAACACCAAGAAACTCACCGTATATTCCAAGACCGACCCCGATTGTCTTCGATGGTGTAACTTATCGTAATTAGCACCCTGCTTATCGATGCCATCGAATCTTGCACAGAGAGTCGCGCACTACGCGTTAGATGTGCAGTACGGTGTCCAATAAAGATGATATTGTTAAAGTAGGCTAGGTAGCTAGGAAGGTAGTCATGAAAAGGACGAGAGGTTTAGCAAGGGGGCAGGATTGTCGAGATAAATGGGAGGCATTAAGAAAGAGAAGGAGATACAACAAGGGGGGTTTGGTCCCCTCTACAGTAGGATTCAGCAATGTCAATGTCACACACCTACCAAGCCTAACAAAGATATATAAAATATATATATGATTTGACGGATATGCCCTGCCCAACTCTGTGTAACCTTATACATATGTTGTTATGTAGAACATTTAGCCTAGATAGGTGTATGTTCATAGAGGGTACAACCCCAACACTATATCTCCCTTGTTTTCCCTAGTTTCTATCATTCTAGTATTCTAACATGGTATCATGCGTAGGTTAGGTCCCCCGCCCCACCACCCGCTTCCGCCCCGCGCACTAGCCTACCGTGCCTCACGCGCCCCTAGCACGCCCGCCGGCCCCTAGCGTGACCGCCGTCCCCTCGAGCCGTAGCCGGCCCTGAGCGTGCCCGTCGGCCCCTCGAGCCCTAGTCGGCCCCTAGAGCCAAATCTGCCCCCTCGCACCGTCGCCCGCCCCTAGCGCCCGGCCGGCCCCTTCGCGACCAGCAGGCCCGCCCCTTGCGCCGTATCAGGCCCCTAGCGCCATCGGTTGTCCCAGTCTTCGCTTGCTGTCGCGCCCCCCCCCCTGTCAGACTACCTTCGTGCTGCTCGTCTTCAAGTTCCTCGGGTCCTTGCCTCCCTCGCTACCGACCCGTCTGCTCATGTCTCCTGTCTTGACGCTCTTGTCCCGGCTATCGCTGACTTTGCCTCTACCCACCGCCTTGACTACGCCACTGCTCTGGTCTCTGACCCTGTCCGTCCTCCGTTCGTCGGGGGTGCTCTTGCTCTTGGCAGTGATGTCCTAGAGGACAGGCAGTACGAGCTTGCTTTCCTATGCGAGGCTGCTCCCCATCTCTGATCCATGCTGCTAGACCCTAAGGGTGATCCAGACGCTTTCGACATCCCGACCCCTCGCACTTACGCTGAGGCGACCTCGGGACCTTGGGCCTCTCAGTGGATAGCTGCCATGGAGCAGGAGATGGCATCTTGGAGATCCACCTGCACCTACGTCGACGCAGTTCCCCCACCTGGGGTGAACGTAGTCGATGGCCGGTGGCTCTCCAATGTAAAGCGCCTCCCTGGAGAGCCGCCTGTATTCAAGGCGCGCTACGTGGCTCGAGGCTTCAGTCAGTGCGAAGTGGTGGAATTCTTTTAGACCTTCACTCTGACCTCGAAGATGACATTTCTTCGGGCACTACTACACGTAGCCGCACTGCGTGACTACGTGCTTCACTCCCTCGACTTCTCCACATCTTTTCTTCAAGGCAGCCTCCACGAGGAGGTCTACCTTCGCCGTACTCAGGGGTTTACAGTGGTACCTTCCCTCCTGGGCCCCAGTGGCTCCTCCGGCGTCCGGTCTACATCCTGCGACAGGCGCCCCGTGAGTGGCACGACATGCTGCTTACTACACTAGCTGACCTGCAGTTCTTTCCGTCCTCTGCAGACCCCTCGCTCTTCGTTCGTGCTGGCTAGACTCCTTTCTACATCCTTGTCTATGTAGACGACCTGGTTTTCGCTACAGTAGACAGAGACGCGCCGGCCTCTGTGAAGGCCGAGCTGCTAAGGAGACACACCTTTACTGACATAGGAGAGCTGCGCTTCTTCCTTGGCTTGCAGATCTCCAGGGACAGAGCAGCGCGCACCATCACTCTTACACATTCACACTTGGTGCGCCGGGTCCTTCAAAGGCTCGGTCTTCAGTTCTCCTGCGCGCAGCCCATACCTTTGCGAGTAGACCACAGGCTCTCAGCTTCAGTTTCTGAGGAGTTAGTAGAGCCCAGTTGTCCTTACGCAGAGCTATTGGGTTACCTCATGTACTTGATGACTTGCACTCGTCCAGATCTCGCATACCCTCTCAGTATCCTAGCTCGCTTTGTGACCACAGGCAGACACGGATCCCAGCACTTGTCGGTCGCTAAGAGGGTTTTGCGTTATCTTGCGAGTACACCGGGCATGGGCCTAGTTCTGGGAGGACGCAGGTCAGTGGTCCTTACTCGCTTCTTGGGCAGATGACGCTGAGACCCTCAAGTCCTCCTAGGGCTACTGCTTTAGCCTTGGTTCAGGTGCCATCTCGTGGAGAGCTACTCGCTACTCGTCTGTTGCTGAGTCTAGATGTGAGGCTGAGATCTACGCTGGTGCCATGGCGGCACAGGAGCTCCGCTGGCTGACGTTCTTGCTCGCTGACTTAGGTGAGCGGCCTAGCTCTGGCCCGGTCCTGTACACTGACAACAGGGCCATGATCCTCCAGTGTCAGGAGCCTCGACTTGAGGGCAGAGCAAAGCACATCCAGCTGCGGTACTTCCTTTTGCGCGAGCTCTAGCAGCGTCGCCAGGCCCGCGTCGTACACTTGGCCTCCGGTGCGACCACAACTGATATCTTTAGTAAGGCATTTGCGCCTAAAGATCATCAGCGGCACTGCTTGCAGCTTGGCCTAGTTCCTGTAGACTCTTACTTGCTAGGACCATGATTGTGTACTCTTCTACATCTTCCAGAATGGTCGTGTGGCTGCTCTTCTAGTGGTCTGACTAGTAGTGCCGCCCTGGTTTGCTCTTGTCTTGTTTGTACTCTTGCTGACGGGTCGTCGGACCCCTGCCTCAAAGGCTGGACTAGTAGTGCCGCCTTGAGCTGCATGTTTCTTGCTCAGCACTACCTCTTATCTAGCCTAGGGGGTGTGTCAACTTATACATATGTTGTTATATATAACATATAGGCTAGATAGGTATAGGTGTATGTTCTTAGAGGGTACAAGTCCAGTATATATCTCCCATGTTGTCCCTAGTTTCTATCCGTCTAGTATTCTAACACTCTGTGTCCAGGCGTTCTCCCATATCCATCGGTCGCTCAGGGTCGGCTGGTGGGTTTACCTGCCAGTATGAATAAGTGCTAGCAACACCTTGCAGTAGAAGAATGGCATAGGTGATATTCATCTAGTTGCCCTACTCATGACACACCGGTAGAAGGCTTTCATCTGCCTTATCCAAGCATGAATGCAGAATTGTCATCACATCACCAGTTCGAATTTCGGTGCCTGCTCCGGCATCAATGCACGCTGCTGCAGAATTGAGTTCCTCGGTGGAGGTAAGACGCGGTGTCGGCATCGATGCAATGGACCTTCACGTTGCCTGACTTTCAGCTGTAATTGGGCGTAGGAATTGGCGCCTCGATTCCCCCTTGCGTCATCATGTTTTTGTTGTTGCGTGTTTTCTTCAGCGTGTGATGCAACGGACCTTGGTGACGGTCGTTGCTCAGTAACGTTGGCAGCATCAAGTTGTGATGGTTCTCTCGTTTCCCCTTCGCCTCTGATGGCTGTCTTCAGTAGGTGGGTGATTGTTGACAGCCAAGGTTGTTTCGCCTACTGATATGTCGTAAGTTGGAACTCCAATTTTCCGATGAGTCGGTCTTTCAGGTGGGCATGTAAGTCGGTCTTTCAGGTGGCCATGATGGTTTGCGCTGCTTCGAGATGACTGCGCATCCGAGCTATGCGGTGAGATGCTATTAGTCGCGCCTAGTCAAGGTTCATTTATTTGCGTTAGCCTTATTGTTTGTGCACCTGAGAGCATAGCAGTTGACTGGAGGGTGAGATGGAGAGTGGAGAGAGGATGGAGTGTGAATGAAAGATGGAGCATTTGTGACGAGCATAGGCAGATGGGATGTAGGCATAAATAAGGTAGGCGTACGGGGATTGCATTCGCTACCACCTAGTTCACTGAATACATAATAAAGCAGGAGACCTGATGAGCATGACTACGTGTATTATGCATAGTATGCTTGAAAATTGTCCTCACTATCCAATAAAATGGAAAGAGATATAAGCAGCCTATATACGTCCATGAGGTCGCGCATATGATAAGAAAACCCTGACATATACTTGGCACATTTCATATGATTTTTCTTTCATTACAAGAGTAACCATTTCAATTAGTGTGACAACTTACTTTCATTGCTCTTTCACCTGCGTGTCACACAACTGTTCTGATCACTTCACTGGGCAGAGACAGCTAATGACGGAAAAGATTCCCATTCGAAGATGCGCTTGGCCTTGGGAATCGCATCTTCTCTGATTACAACATTTCTGACAGATGCATCTCGACAAGCATCCAAACTCGCAAAAATTATGCCACGTAAGATTCAGACGTCGGCCACGTAGACGGTAACCACCTGACAGCTTATACACCAATGGCATAAGCTGTACGTGTGTGTCTGTTCACCTGGAGGAACGTTTTTCCAGGAGCGCAGGTGATCGGTTATCACCAAATGGCGGTTCCAGATCACGAGGCGCGTGATTCCAAATGTCGAGCCATAAAGAGCGAGAGTTCTCATCTGCTCTTATCACCCTCACTCGGACCAGTTGAGTAGTCATCTGCCTTTTCAGATCACTCCAACCCGTCATACCACCGCTTCACTTTTACGCAAGTCATCAGCAGAACTCCCATGATGGCTCGCTCGTCTACCAGCCTGATTGTGACCCTTCTGATCGTCTCGTTCGCCTCGCAGGCTCTTGCCGGTTTCATGGGCGGTGCTTCAACCTTCGCCACCGTAAGTTTCTGCTGTCTCAAAACTTCAGTCTTCCAAACCTCGAGCCGAAGTTCCAATCCTGTTTTGCCTCTATATCGCTCCCGTGGAGCGTTCCTGAAACAATTTGAACGCCTCGATAGTGACTCAGTTGATGGTAATATTCCTGCCTACTCCACTTGCAGGCCGGTTCTGCCCTCGTCGCCAAGTGGAACAAGGCTAAGCCGGGCTTTTCTCAGGACGTCGTCGCGTACGACTCCGTGGGATCCGGCGCGGGAATCACGGGATTTAATGGCGGTACTTACCTCATTGCCATCTCCGACGACCCCATGACCACCGCGCAAGAGGGCGGCGTCCCCGCCGGGGGCAAGGTTACCGTGCCGCTCTGCGTGTCCACCTTCAGCTTCTTCTACAACGGGAAGCCCGGCGTCGTGCTGACGGCTCCCCAGACCTACGCGATCTTCAGCGGCACGACCACCGTCTGGTCCGGCATTCCCGGCGCTGCAGGCAAGGTCGCGGGCACCATCACTCGCGTTGCTCGCAGCGACAAGTCCGGATCTTCTGCCATCGTTAAGACGATGTGGTCTAAGGCCGTGTCGGGCTACGGCGACGGCACGGACGGCACGTCCATGACTTACGCTGGCCTCACCAAGGTGGAGGGCACGAGCGCCGTCTGCGCCGCAGTTCTCGGCACCAAGGGCGCCATTGGTTACGCTTTCACCGGCGGCTGCACCACCGTGGCCAGCAAGCGCATGGTTGCTTCGCTCAAAAACGCCAATGGCGTTGCCGTTTCACCCCCGGCGTGGGTTCCCGGCGCTGCTCTCACCGGCTCCCCACCCGCAGCTGACGGGTCGTGGAACGCAGTGGATTTCATCTGGAAGGCCGGAGCGAAGACCCCGCCCATGGTGTCGATGGAGTACGGGTTCATCCGCAAGTCGCTGACGGGTGTGACTGGCGGAAAGATTGCCAAGGCGTTCATGCAGTACATGATCGGCGCTCTCAAGAATGGTGGGTATGGGTTTAATGCGGTGCCTGCTGGCTGGAGGAACCCTTCTGTTACCATGGTGAATGCCATCACTGTGTAGTAAGGATTATTGCTGGTTCCGTGCTATTTGGGCGTTCAGGGCTCATACTTCGTATCTCTACCGCTTGAAATGTATGACGATGAGTATTAGTGGATATTGGCGTGAACATTTGTTTGAAAGTAAGTTTCTCATGAACATTGTACATGCCACAAAGCCCATGCATTGATATCTTCTTTTAGTTGCTGCACGATGTGTAATAAATCAGGCAATAAAGAAGAAGATTCCTCACGAAAGATTCCCTTCTTGTAAATGGAATCGCACATTCCATTTCCTTGCAACATTTCTGTCCACGCTGGCACTACTAATTCACCCAATAAAAGATCAGCCTCCATTTCCACGTAGACTGTAGCCATGGCATCGATTCCGTTCCGCCCAATCGCGTACAGCTGTCACATGTCTGTCGAAGTGCCGAGCTGGAGGGGAGAAGTGATATTTGTTGTCATCGTCAGAGCGCCTCCACGAAGCCGAGGCGCATTTCCCAAAATGTCGAGCCATAAAGCGTGATCATTCTTCACCGTTTCGCATCCCCTCAGCATCTGAGATTTCAGATAACAACCATATCATCAAGCCCTGAACCTGCCACCTCTCTAACCATGGCTCGCCTCTCTGCCAACCTGTTGTGACTCTTCTGGTCGCCTCGTTCGCCTCACAGGCGCTCGCTGGGTTCATGGGCGGTGCTTCAACCTTCGCTCCCGTAAGCCTTTATTTGCTTGTTCCATTGAATTGCGAGGCGGACCGTAATTGTTAGGATATGCTGGTTATCTCGGTGGTCACTGAATCAAGCACTGATTACCTGAACCCCTCCCCTTAACAGGCGGGCGCAGCCATCGTCGCCAAGTGGAACAAGGCCAAGCCGGGCTTTTCTCAAGACGTCGTCGCGTACGATTCCGTGGGATCCGGCACCGGAATCACGGGCTTCAACAGCGGCACCTACCTCATTGCCGTCTCCGATGACCCCATGACCGCCGCGCAAGAGGGCGCCGGCTTCTCTGCCAGCCCCGGCAAGATCACCGTGCCGCTGTGCGTCTCCACGTTCGGCTTCTTCTATAACGGGAAGCCCGGCCTTGTGCTGACGGCGACTCAGTCCTACCAGATCTACAGCGGCACAATCGCCACGTGGGCGGGCGTTGCAGGCGCTTCAGCCAAGGGCCTTACGGGGGCCATCACCCGCGTCGCTCGCAGCGACAAGTCCGGATCGACCGCCATCGTGAAGACCATGTGGTCCAAGGCCGCGACGGGGTTCTCTGGCGCGACGGACGGCGTTGCTCTGACTTTCGACGGCCTCTCCAAGGTGGAGGGCACGAGTGCCGTGTGCGCCGCAGTTCTCGCCACCAAGGGCGCTATCGGGTACGCTTTCACCGGAGGCTGCAGCACGGTGTACAACAAGAGGAATCCCAACCTTAAGAACCGCGTGATTGCTTCTTTGAAGAACGCTAACGGCGTGGCTGTCGCACCTCCTTCTTGGTCCCCCGGCTCTGCTCTCACCGGCTCCCCGCCCGCGGCTGACGGGTCGTGGGCGGCTGTGGATTTCATCTGGAAGGCCGGAGCTAAGACCCCGCCCATGGTGTCGATGGAGTTCGCGTTCATCCGCAAGTCGCTGACGGGTGTGACCGGCGGAAGATCGCCAAGGCGTTCATGCAGTACATGATCGGCTCGTTCGCTAAGGGCGGGTATGGGTTCTCAGCCACCCCGGCTGCCTGGAAGAGCAAGTCCATTACCATGGTGAATGCCATCGCTGCGGATAAGTAGGAGCAGAGTAATTCTCGCCATCTGGATATTTTGAGTGCGTTGTTTATCATACTTGACGCAGACATTGCAGTCGTCACCTGTGCATGGTGCTACTAGCCCATTCATTAGAAATGTCATGCGTGATGCTTTTTACTTGGTTCTGGCTTTGTTAGTACTCTTTACACCTGCGTGCATTTTCCCTTGTCGTCATTTATTTTGAGTGACTGCTTCGTAAGCCGTGGTACTTGCGAAAAGTACAACGGCCATATGTAGGACAGTGTTAATCTGTGGGAGGTTTCATTGGAAGTGTCAGCTGATGAAAGATGCGGCCGATCAGCTGTAGGGTACGTGTGAGGACAGTAAGGTTCTATCTGTGGGAGGTTTCATTGGTGGAAGTGTCAGCTGGCGAAGGATGTGGCCGATCAGCCGTTGGGTGGGTGTGAATATGAGAACAAAAGGGTTCTATCTACGGAAGGTATCATTGGTGGAAGTGTCAGCTGGCGATGGATGCGGCCGATCAGCGGTTGGGTAGGCGGTAACATGATGAAACAAAAAGGTTCTATCTGTGGAAGGCTTGTGTCGCGACATCTTTGATCACACATCACACCACACGGTTCATGCCAGCTGGCGCCGCATGACGACAGATATTTTGACACCTCAAACATGAACAAGATCGATGTGTGTCTGTTTCCAGAAGGCGCTTGTGAGGACAGTGGGCACCAAAGTCTGTGCTGCATGCATTGGTGAGTGGCAGTGAGTGTTATCGAAGGGAATCTGTGAAGGCATCTTTTGGTCGGCGGCGAGATGCCAATGCGCTTCGACGAGAATGACCGGATTACTGCGCCGAAGTTCTGTCTGTACGCGACAGGCACAGATCATGACCATGGTGAATCACATTTGCCTATTTCTTAGGCGTCTCAAAAATAGCCTCCTCACGCGACAGGCGCAGGTCATGACCATGGCGCATCACACTTGCCTACGTGACGTCCGGCGTCGTTTGTTCCCCTTTGAGACAACGAAACACGGCGAAGGAGGTGTTCTTACCGTACGTCTCATTGCGGCTGGGTGCGATACGTTTCGAGCTGGTCATATATCAGTCTAAAACGGTTGGGTAGGTTATTGAGCGAAAGCGTACGCTTCTGACACGCTGATACTGCTGTAGGCTTGTTTGCCACCAGCGGTCTTGGAGTCACGCTGTAATCACCGGAATACAGAATATTACCCGGTGGTTACGAGTGGCGCCTTCCCAAGGAAGGACGACCCCTGTGAACAACAAGGCTTGTTCGATGTGGCACGATCCGCGTATGCCAGCTGGCACTGCATGACGGTAGAAATGGGTTTTGTCATGGGTAATTTTCTGACAGATCAGCAACTTTGAGCGTCTGATCTGTACGTATTATATCAGTTCTCGCAACCTAAAACAGAATCTTTCTAATCTGACGCACCACGAATAGTTCTCAATCATCAACATTAGCGGGGTTTTCTGATCTGATGTGTGTTGGGGGGGGGGGGGGGGGGGGGGGGGGGGGTGGGGTCGGTTTCTAGAGGTGACACATCGGCAATCGGTTCAGCAGGGGCACACCAGATTCGTTCGGCCCACCACCACCAAACCTAGATATTTCCGTACTTCTAGAGGTGACACATCGGCAAATCGCGTTTCAGCCAGGGGCACACACCAGAATTCGTTTCGGCCCACCACCACCAAACCTAGATATAAGCCTATAAATTTCTAAGACGGCAGATTAGGGTTGAAAAGGAACGGAAGGTAGGGTGGAAGGTTGGGTACACTAGTTGGGTACTTTCGCTAGCGATAGGTTCGGTGGTGGTGGGCCGAAACGAATTCTGGTGTGTACCCCTGGCTGAAACGCGATTTGCCGATGTGTCATCTCTAAAGTACGGAAAAACGAGCCGCCCACCCATCAGATCAGAAAACCCTGCTAATGTTGATGATTGAGAACTGTTTGTGGTGCGTCAGATTAGAAAGATACTGTTTTCAGGTTGCGAGAAGTGCTCTACACGTAAAGATCAGCCACTCAAGGTTTCTGATCTGTCAGCAAATTACTCTTTTGTCATTGTCACCTCCACTGGATGTAAACGCGCGAGAGGCGGGCCTCGTTTTGAGGCGCCAAAACTCTCGTGCTGCACGCACTGGTGAGTGTCAGTGAGTGGAGCGGAAGGGAATCTGTGAGAAGGCATCTTTTGGTCGGCGGCAAGATGCCGAGGCGCTGCGACAAGGTTTGCTTGCCACATCACTGATCAGGTCTGTCGATTGGTCTGGGCTGGGGGGCATTTGCCCTCGATCCGATATCCCCGTTCCCAAGTGCTCTGGACGCGACAAGAGGAAGATGTCAGCATTAGCTGTATGGTAAATTTCTATTACAGCTGATGATGAATTTTGGCGTTAGTTCTTAGAGATTTCAACATTGGCGATAGAATTTTGTAGAGATTGTAGAAAAAAACTATTCTGTATCAGCGGCGTGGAGTTCACATGGACCGATGGAGCTCACACGTCTTGCAAGTGAGTCTGCTGTTGGAGGAGCACAGCTGCTGGATGGCTTGCGCTGGTTTGGCGTCCACCCATTCGTCTGCGCCTTGTCACAGCAGACTTCTTCGCGTTGCTGGTGACGAAGCTAGGCTGCTCACCAATGGCTGGAATCCTTTCAGCCGTTAGGCGACTGTGAACGACACTTCCAACGACGCAATGAACGACTCTACGAAGGGTACGATTTCACGACGGGCACTCAACGACGTCGTAACGCCACCTCACTGAGGTGTCAGGTCGTTCCTTCTCACGAAAGAGCACATCATCCTTCGTTGCACATCGTCGTACGACGTAGTCCGGTCTGGATGCGCGCCGCGAACTATCGTATGCGTTGTCGCGGCACGTCGTCAAGCCGACGAGATACTTGTGCGATGGCGCGAAATTTGTGGAGACTCGTTCCTGCGATTTGTGTGTCTTCGTGACTCTCACAAGGCAAGAAACATTGTCTAGCGTGGCGCCGCCAACATCATCGTCTAGTTAGCACTACCAACCAACCGCAGCGCTGCCTCTGCGCTAAGACGCATGCGTAAGAGCTGTTTATTTACGAATGGAACGTCGTGCATTCCGATGACGGCTGATAGTGGATGAGCAAAAGCGCGTACAACTGCCTCCTTTCTCTGCAACTCGCCGCGCGCTTTAGGACAAGAAGTGTCCCGTCGATTAGGTTTGCTTTTCTAGCCATCAGCCTCGTAACTTATTCCTTCGTTGCGTCCGATACATTTGCTCGGGTTTTTTACGAGCCATCAAGCCTTCTGCGAGGAACCGTCCAATTGACGTGAAGCCGAAAGCCGTTCTGCACCAGCTGCATTTCTCAAGAATAGGGTGCTCCCACCGCTGGTCTCAAGGTGCGCGTTTTAGTTCGAGCCTCATCGCTTTTGAGCTGCCGGAAACCGTTCGGCATCAGCCGGATTTCCCAAGAATAGGGTGCTCCCACCGCAGGCATCAAGGGAATGATGATTTCGATTTGACATGTCTCAAAACGCAAGTGGGTGCTCCCACCGAAGGTGCCAAGGTGCGCGTCGAGTTCGAGACTCATTCGCTTTTGGGTGTCGAGACTCATTCGCTTTTGCGTCGAGTTCGAGACCCAAATGCAGAATATGCTACTCCCAGCGCTGGTGCCAAGAATAGGTGCGCGGGTTTTAAATTCGACTCACCGCAGGTCTTGCGACCAATGCTCGCCACGCCAGCGTCACCGCGGTGCCTACTTTCTTGTTCTTGCGGTTTTACTCACTCTCCTCCTCCTTCCCCCTACTTTTGTCCCTGCGCCTGATTTCCCCTTGTTCCGTCGCGCAGAAACGAAGGCGCTCGAGCTGCTTGGCGGAGCCTCGGCGCGCAAGACAGCGTGCAGCACGCGCGAGTGGGGGAAGCTTTCCGTGCCCCCCGTCATTCGTGCCCCACCCGCCCCCTCCCCCTCCCCCCCCCTTCCCCCTCCGCCCCTCCCCTCCTCCCCCCGCCTCCGCGCAGTTTCTGGCAGCAATGAAGGCGTTCGAGCTGCTGGGGCTCGGCGCGCAAGACTCGGTGCAGTACGCGCGAGTGGGGGAGGTCACGGAGGACGGGGCTCTTGACGACGACCATGACAGCCATAATCACGCCAGCCATAGTCACTCCTCCAACAGTCACAACCACTCGGGCACTCCGCTGCACGGCAGCCCCCCGCTAGGCGCGAGTCCGTCCCCGCGGCAGCAGCACCGGCTGCCAGGGGTGGCGTTTAAGACGGAGGCAGCGCGCGCCGCTGCTGCTGCGCTGGACGAGGAGATGGGGGGAGGCGGGGGAGGGGAAGGGGGAGGTGTGGGGGAAGTAAGGAGGCCGAAACAGGCTGTTGCTTCGCCTTCGGTGAGTGCGAGGGGAAGTGGGAGTGTGTGAATTTCTTTTGGGGAGGGTGAGGGGGAGGGGGAGGGGGAGGAAGAGGGAGGGCAAGAGGGGGGAGGGTGTTGGGGGGTGGCGTTTATGACGCGGACAGCGCGCGCCGCTGCTGCTGCGCTGGATGAGGTGATGGGGGGGAGCAGCGGAGGGGGAAGGGAGGGTGAGGGGTAGGGGGCGAGGGAAAAGGGGGAGGTGGGGGAGGCGTTGGCCAGAGAGGAAGCCGAAACTCGCTGTTGCTTCCCCTCTCCTATCTCTCTCGCTCGAGCACACACGCGTGTACCATACGCGTAATTCGTGAAACACACACGTGTGCCACATGGTCATTTCATCTCACCCTCGCCGTTTCTTGCCTCCTCCTAGCTACTTTCGCTCGCTTCCTCCCTCTTTCCCCCCTCTTCCTCTTTCCCCCCGCCTCCCTCACACCCTTCTCCCCCTCATGCATATCCCCCCTCATGCATATCCCTACCCCTCTTCCGCTTCTGTGGAGGACACACACGACTCCTCCCCTCCTCACCTACCCCTCTCTCCACAGAAAGGCAGCTGCCTCTGGCTTCTGGTCTCTCTCGCGCCCTTCCTCCAACGGTCCTTCATATTAGCCTTATAGCTCTCTCTCCTCTCTCTCGAGATCCCATTCCCTCGTTCACGCACAACTCGTCTGCCTTCTCTCCCGCCCCCCTCCCCTCTCTCCACAGAAGGGCAGCTGCCTCTGGCTTCTGGTCTCTCTCGCACTCTCCCTCGCCTTAGTTCAGGTGGGTGCAAGCAGCAACACTCAGGCCTAGCTTTCAGGTGTTTCAGGGGAATATCTCAGGGGCTCTGATGTTTCAGGTGGGTACCTCAGGTGCTTTCAGGTGTTTCAGGTGCGTACCTCAGAGTTTGTCAGGTATCACATGCGGTACTAGGCATGTGGGGCTACAAACTTCGCTTCAAGTCACGGGCGCATGGGTTCGGATTCCACTTTCTCTCTCTCTGTGTTCTCTTCTCTCCTCTCCTCCCCCTCTCGTCCTCCCTCTCCCCTCAGCTCCTCATGGGCATGTGCGGCTACAACCTTTGCTTCATAATGACATGGGTTATTCTGAGCCTGCTCCCCTCCTTGCTCCCCTCCTTGCTCCCCTCCTTGCTCCCCTCCTTGCTCCCCTCCTTGCTCCCCTCTTTGCTCCCCTACTCCCCTCCCTTGCTCTCCCCCTCCCCTCAGCTCCTCATGGGCATGTGCGGCTACAACCTTCGCTTCAAGGGCGCATGGATCACTCTAGTCTACGATGTGAGTTTAATCCAGGTTCAGGCTTCAGGGTTTTAAGGTTTCGGGTTAAGGGTTTGCGATCACCAGCCTATGCTTGGACTCGTCTGTGCGTATCATCTTTTTGAGGTGCCTCAAAAACAGGCTCGTCACCAGCGTACGCGTGCACTTTTGATCCGACTCAGAAGTCAGCTCAGCTAGTCACCAGCCTATGCATGCGCTCGTCTCCTATGTCTGTGGACCATCCTCCGTACTATCTAACCTGTCAGAGCAGGTCAAAGCGTCAATCAGGTTAGTTCCTCAGCCTAATGGGCTTGTCTTTGGAGCAAACGCTGCCACTCATGCTCCCTTCCCCATATCCCCCCACTTTCAGTCAATCTTTTACGCCTTGGGAGCGAGCAAGCACCCCCACACATGCGTACTTCCCCACATCCCCCCCCTCTCTCACTCGCAGTGTCCCCCCTCCCACACTATTTCCTCACATCCTCCCACCTTACTGTGGTTCCCTCCTCTTGTCAAGGCGTTTTGGCAGATCTCGCCATGTGTACTCCCCTGCACCGCACATGTGCAGCCCAGCACGCTAGCCCAGAGAGCAGCAGAGATTGGAGTGCAGCACTCACGGCACATGTGCACCCGTGAGGAGTCTATTTTTGAGGCGCCTCAAAAATAGACCCCTTCCTCCTCATCTCATTCCCCCTTCTCCCACCTTTCGGACCCCTCCCTCCCGTGCGCAGCCCAGCACGTGCGCCCAGAGAGCAACAGAGATTGGAGCGCAGCACTCATGGCACCTGTGCACCCTTCCTCCTCATCTCATTCCCCCTTCTTTGACTCTCCCACCTTTCGGACCCCTCCCTCCCGTGCGCAGCCCAGCACACGCGCACAGACAACAGAGTTTGTGCCAGGTTTGGAACACAGCGCGCATGCCCCCCTTTCCCCCCCCCTCCCCCCTTGTTCCTTCCCCCCCTCCCCCCTTGTTCCTTCCCCCCCTCCCCCCTTGTTCCTTCCCCCCCCTCCCCCCTTGTTCCTTCCCCCCCTCCCCCCTTGTTCCTTCCCCCTCCTCCCCCTTGTTCCTTCCCCCTCCTCCCCCCTTGTTCCTTCCCCCCCTCCCCCCTTGTTCCTTCCCCCTCCTCCCCCCTTGTTCCTTCCCCCTCCTCCCCCCTTGTTCCTTCCCCCCCATCTTTTGTCTCCCTTTCCCTGCCTTTGACCTTCCTGCCTCCCTCCCGTGCGCAGCCCAGCACGCGCGCGCAGACAACAGAGTCGGTGGCGAGTTTGGAGCACAGTGTGTATGGCGAAACAGGTATTGATGGCACTTTTCTTTTGGTGATATAGAAGGTGGCTTTTGAATCGTTTAGAATACACAGCGGAAATATGTGCTTATTATCAGTGCATGTATGTATCTATTAAGGAGAGCATCTCTTGCCAAGTTATTGGTAACAATGAGAATATAATTTTGAGAAATGGGAATGTAAAGTTTCTTTTCTTTGTAATTCGTACTAGATAGTTTATTACTATCATGTTGGATGGAAGTGCCATCGTTCTCCCTCCTCTTGCTCAACTTAATGAGGTGACTTCTGAGTCGACGCAAAAGTCACCTCCTCTTGCTCAACTTAACAGAAATTCCCCACCCACCACCACCCCTCCACCCACCCTCCTCTCCCTCCGCTCTCCCCCTCACTCGTCTCCCCCGGTTTTTGCTGCTTGTCCTGTGCTCACTTAACCGGTTTTGAGGTGCCTAAATTTCGCCCTCTTCTTCCGGATTGTCCTCTGCTTCACCGGCCAATCCGGCCAATCCGGCCAATTTCGCTCTTGCTTTTTCTGGATTGTCCTCTGCTTTACCAGAAGGCAGACCAGCAGGAGTATTCCATCCAGGTAATGCTTGAGACGCTTTTTAGTCGGCTCAAAATTCACCTCGGTCCTCGCCTGCCCTGCTTTCTCTGCTTGTCCTGTGCTGCCTCGCTTTACTTCACGTCACGTTGCAGGGGTGTTCCAGGTGACATTTGAGACGCTTGAGGACGAGATTCGCGAGCTCAGAGACCAGCTCAACGGCACGCAGGTGGGTGCTGCTGGGTGCTGCTGGGGGTGGGTGCTGGTGCCAGTGCTGGTGAGCAGTGGAGGTGAGGTGATCCCTCCCGTGGCGTCCAAGGGAGACGCTTGAGGACGAGATCCGCGAGCTCAGGGACCAGCTCAACGGCACGCAGGTGGGTGTGGGTAGTGGGGGGGGAGGTGTTGGTGGGGATGTTGGTGGGGGTGTTGGTGAGGGTGCTGGTGAGGGTGTTGGTGGGGGTGTTGGTGGGGGTGTTGGTGAGGGTGTTGGTGGGGGTGCTTGTAGAGGTGAGTAGAGTATGTAGGTGAGGTGAGCCCTTCATGGGACCCTTGCATGCATGCAAGGGAGGCGCTTGAGGACGAGACTCACGAGTTGAGGGACCAGCTCAACGGCACGCAGGTGGGTGCTGCTGGGTGCTGCTGGGTGCCAGCTGCCGGAGGTTAAGGGGCAGGTGGCGGAACAAAGGATCTGATTCTGGCGGAGCTGGCTGTCGCCCCAACACAACACGCCCTCTGCTGCCTCGCTCTCCCATCCTGCTGTCCCATCCCTCCTCCCCTCCCCCCCCTACCCTCTCCCATCCTAGTATTCCCCCCCTCCGCCCCTCCCTCTCCCATCCTATCTTTTCCTCCTTCCCCCCCCCCCCACCCTCTCCCATCCGACACCCGCTGCTGACCGATCTCCTCGCCCCATTCTTTGTCCCCCCTCCCATCACACCATCACAAGCTCAAGCTCATGCACAACTAATCCCGTTCTTTGTCCCCCCTCCCATCACACCATCACAAGCTCAAGCTCATGCACAACTAATCCCGTTCTTTGTCCCCCCTCCCATCACACCATCACAAGACAGGCGCCCGGCCAGCAGTGCCTGCTACCCCAGAGGACCAGCTGGCCAAGCTGAAGGTGAAGGTTGCGGAGCTCTCCTCCCAACACGCCCTGTCATTCTCCCTCTCCTCTCCCCCTCCCTCTCCTCTCCCCCTCCCTCTCCCCTCCCCCTCCCTCTCCTCCCCCTCCCTCTCCTCTCCCCTCCCTCTCCACCCCCTCCCTCTCCTCTCCCCCTCCTCCTCTCCCCCTCCCTCTCCTCCCCCTCCCTCTCCTCTCCCCCTCCCTCTCCTCTCCCCCTCCCTCTCCTCTCCCCCTCCCTCTCCTCCTCCTTCCTCTCCTCCCCCTCCCTCTACCCACCAGCAGAAGGGCGCGATGGCAGCAGCACCCGTCCCTCCAGCGGGCCACGTCCCAATACGCTGCCATCCTCCCTTTCCTCTCCCCCTCCCGCCCTCTGGTCCCTCAACCACCAGCAGAAAGGAGCGAGGCCAGCGGCGCCTGTTCCCCCAGCAGGCCAGATAGCCAAGCTCAAGGTGCAGGTGGCGGAGATCTACTCCCAACACGCCCACTGCTGCCTGCTCTCCTCTCTCCCTCTTCCTTCCCCCTCGCCCCCCCCACCCAACCCATTCTCCAGCAGAAGGGCGCCCGGCCAGCAGCACCCGTCCCTCCAGCGGACATTGTAGCCAAGCTCAAGGTGCAGGTGGCAGAGCTCTCGTCCCAACACGCGCTGCTGCGAGGCCAGCTGGACGCACTTGTTGCTGCTGCTGCTGCTGGCGGGAACCTCAGCAGCAGCAGCGGCGGGGCGAATCTGAATTTGACTAGAATCAGCGCTGGGGGTGGGGCTGTGGGGCCGGCAGTGGGGCCGGCAGTGGGGCCGGCAGTGGGGCCGGCAGTGGGGCAGCTGCTGGTGCCGCTGAGTGCGCGGATGCAGCGGGGGGAGGAGCGGGTGAGGGGCGTGGAGGAGAGGGTGGACGTGCTCGAGAAGGAGCTGGCGGATACCACCGAGGTGCTGCAGCAGCTGCAGGTGGAGGTGGTCACTGGGGGGAAAGGTGAGACCCCTGCTCCCTTGCTCCCTTGCTTCCTCTCTCTGTGCCTTGTGTGCCGTGCGAGGTCTAGCAAAAACGAGGTAGCGAGGTCTAGGAATCATCCATGCGTCAGAAGGACCTGGCAGACACCACCGAGCAGCCGCATTTCCTGCAGCAGCAGCAGACATCCCTACAGCCAAAGCTGTTCCCTCAGACAACGGATGAGCCTGCAGGCCAGGCACACCAGAGGAGCCAGCAGCGACTGTGGTTCCAACAACGGATGACCCTGCAGCCATAGTGGTGCCTGCCAGTGCCCTTATACCTTCCTCGCCCTGTCCCGTCTCTCTCCCTTGCATGCACTCTCAGTCACACCGGACCCGGCAGCCGCACAAGCAGCAGCAGCAGACATTCCTGCAGCGACAGTGGTGCCCTCAGGCACACAGGAGGGGCCGGCAGCCACCGTGGTTCCCACAGGGGACGAGCCTTCAGCCGTGGTGGTGCCAGTGCCCTCAGACGCCCCTAAGAAGCCAGCGGGGTCAGAAGATCCGCCAGCAGAAATCCCTGCAGGGACTGTGGTCCCTGCAGGGGAGGAGCCTTCAGCCGTAGTGGTGCCCGTTCCCTCAGACGCGCCGGAGGAGCCGGCAGGGACTGTGGTTCCCTCAGATGCACCGGCAGAGCCGGCAGGGACTGTGGTTCCCACAGGGGAGGAGCTTGCCGCCACAGTGGTTCCCGCAACGGAAGAGGCGGAGGAGGAGGCGCAGGATGATGCTGAACTGGGTCCCCCGGACGATTACCCTGGGGAGGCTGGGGAGGAGGAGGGAGGGGAGGGAGGGGAGGAGGAGAATGGAGGGGAGGAGGAGGAAGGAGAGGAGAAGGGAGGGGAGGAGGAGAAGGGAAGTAAGGAGGAGGAGAAGGGAGGGGAGGTGGAGAAGGGAAGTAAGGAGGAGGAGAAGGGAGGAGAGGAGGAGAAGGGAGGAGAGGAGGAGGAAGAGGAGGAGGAGGAGGATGCAGCACCCGCAACGCCAGGAGGCATTGAGGTGGCGGAAGTGGAACAGTGCGGAGATGAGGTGAGATGATGGAGATGGTGATGGAGATGGTGATGGAGATGGAGATGGTGATGGTGCTGATTGCAGTGGTTGGCCTGCATGTTTCGGTCTTTTTCGTCTTTCCCAACCACTGCCCGTCTGTATTCCGCTCACCGCGTGATAGGAGTCTAGTTTTGAGGCGCCTCAAAACTAGACTCCTATCACGCGGTTTTTGAGGCCCCTCAAAACTAGACTCCTATCACGCGGTTTTTGAGGCGCCTCAAAACTAGACTCCTATCTTTCGGTCTTTTTCGTCTTTCCTTTCCCAACCACTGCCCGTCTGTATTCCGCTCACCGCGTGATAGGAGTCTCAAATCACGCGGTTTTTGAGGCGCCTCAAAAACTAGACTCCTATCTTTCGGTCTTTTTCATCTTTCCCAACCACTGCCCGTCTGTATTCCGCTCACTTCCTCTCTTCGTCTCTCCTACCTCATCTTCCCCTGTCCTCCCCTCTCCTCCCCTCTCCTCCCATCTCCACCCATCTCTTCCCCTCTCTTTTTTTTCACTTCCTCCCCCCCTCTCGTCCACCCCGTGCCAGTCTCTCGACCTACCACCAGAGGCCAAGGCGTGGAAGCAGCGCACCCTCGTTGAGATCACACCTGATCTTCACCTCTTCAGGTAACCCGGTTAGGTTACCATCACGTCGTGCAATCCGTACGGCCGCATGGATGGAGGCAGTAGGAGGTAGGGCTCTCACCGTACCGGAGCATTGTTGTAGCTCGCACCACCTCCCAGCAGAGGTGACTTTTGAATCGATTCAAAACTCACGTTGTAGCTCACACCACCTCCCAGCAGAGGTGACTTTTGAATCGACTCAAAACTCACGTTGTAGCTCACACCACCTCCCAGCAGAGGTGACTTATGAATCGACTCAAAACTCACGTTGTAGCTCACACCAACTCCCAGCAGAGGTGACTTTTGATTGAATCGACTCAAAACTCACGTTGTAGCTCACACCACCTCCCAGCAGAGGTGACTTTTGAATCGACTCAAAACTCACGCTGTAGCTCACACCACCTCCCAGCAGAGGTGACTTTTGAATCGACTCAAAACTCACGTTGTAGCTCACACCACCTCCCAGCAGAGGCCAAGGCGTGGAAGCAGCGCACTCTTGTTCAGATCACACCTAATCTGCAGCTCTTCAGGTAACCAGGTTACCACACACCATACCAGGGCATTGTAGCTCACACGACCTGCCACCAGAGGGCAAGACGTGGAAGCAGCGTACTCTCGTTAAGATCACACCTGATCTTCACCAGAGGGCAAGAAGTCTGGTCTTCACCTCTTCAGGTTGGCGCAGAAGTCTTGCATTTTGCTGCCCATATTGCATTCCCCTTTTCCCCCTATCCCCTTTTCCCCCAATCCCCTTTTCCCCCAATCCCCTCTTCCCCCAATCCCCTTTTCCCCCATTCCCCTTTTCCCCCAATCCCCTTTTCCCCCAATCCCCTTTTCCCCCATTCCCCTTTTCCCCCATTCCCCTTTTCCCCCAATCCCCTTTTCCCCCAATCCCTTTTTCCCCCAATCCCTTTTTCCCCCAATCCCCTTTTCCCCCAATCCCCTCTTCCCCCAATCCCCTTTTCCCCCAATCCCCTTTTCCCCCAATCCCCTTTTCCCCCAATCCCCTCTTCCCCCAATCCCCTTTTCCCCCAGTCCCCTCTTCCCCCAGTCCTCCTCTTCTCCTAATCCCCTTCCCCCATTCTCCACTCTCCTCCCCTCGCTCCCTTCAGTGCATACCGCTTTGGCCCCAACACCCTAGCGTTGGTGGGGCTGTTACCACCTGCCATCCCCACCCTGCCCTGCAACACTGCAAAACCAGACTCGTGCCCTACAACACCCCCACCCTGCCCTTGGACACCTCCCTCTTCACCAGACCGATGGCTCACCACCCACTTCTCTCCTCCCCCCTTCTCGGCCGCCCCTTCCCTCCATCCCCCCTCCGCGTTACCAGTGCCTACCGCTTTGGCCCCAACTCTATAGCATTGGTGGGGCTGCTGCCCCCTGCCACACTCATCGTGCCCTTAGACACCTGCCTCTTCACCAGACGGACGGCTCACAATCCCCTTCCCTCCTCCTCCCTTTTTGCCTCCCCCCTTCTCTCCTCCCTTTTCCCGCCCCCTTCAGTGCATACCGCTTTGGCCCCAACACTCTAGCGTTGGTGGGGCTGCTGCCCCCTGCCACACCCACCCTGCCTCTGGACGCGTGCCTCTTCCACCAGACAGACGGGTCTGCGGCGATCAGTGGGTCGCTTCTGAGGCTGCAGGTTGAGGTGAGCACAACAAATTGATGGGGGTGGGTACGGGGAGTGGTGGGTGCGGCCTGCTGCCCCCTGCCGTGCCCTCCTTGCACTTGGACGCCTGCCTGTTCCACCAGACAGACGGGTCCAATGCGATCAGTGGGCCGTTGCTGCGCCTGCAGGTCGAGGTGAGCTGAGATGGAGTGGGTAGGTTCGCTCGAATGCTGAGTGGGGGTGCATTTAAGAGTCAGCCCATTCCCCCCACTGCTGCCTCCTCTTTCTCTCTTTCTCCACCCGATATAAGGGTGGTTTTGAGACGTCTCAAAACCAACCTTATCCCACTGCTGCCTCCTCTTTCTCTCTTTCTCCACCCCCCCATGAGCACCTCAGCAGTGGTGCTCAAGTTTCAAGACAACCCCGCCATCCCACCCTGCGGGAGCTATCTCGACTGCACTCTCTCCCCGCCCTTCCCCTCTACTCTACTCCTCTCTCCCCAGGACACCTCAGCAGTGGTGCTCAAGTTCCAAGGCGGGGCGCAGCCATCCCACCCTGAGGGACCTACCTCTCCAGGGCACTCATCGTTCCTTCCCCAGTCCCTTCCATCCTTCCCCCCTCTCCCCCACTCCCCCCGTCTCCAGGACACCTCAGCAGTGGTGCTCAAGTTCCAAGGCGACACCGCCATTCTCCCCTGCGGGGGCTGCCAGGAGGGCACTCAACACCCTCCCTTTCCTCCTTCCTCTCCATCCCTCCTCGCATCCCCCCCCCTCCCCGCCCCTCCCCGCCCCCACCTCTTCCTCTCTCCAGGACACCTCAGCCATGGTGCTCAAATTCCAAGGCGACACTGCCATTCCCCCCTGTGGCGGCTACCTCCAGTGCACTGCTGCTGGGGGGGCTAAAGTGGTTGTGTACACTGAAGGCCGGGGGGAGGTGAGAGGGTGGGGGGTATGGGGGGAGGTGAGAGGGTGGGGGGTATGGGGGAGGTGAGATGGTAGGGGGTATGGGGGGAGGTGAGAGGGTGGGGGGTATGGGGGGAGGTGAGAGGGTGGGGGTATGGGGGGAGGTGAGAGGGTGGGGGGTATGGGGGGAGGTGAGAGGGTGGGGGGTATGGGGGGAGGTGAGAGGGTGGGGGGTATGGGGGGAGGACTGCGGGAAGGGATAGGCTGGGGGGAGGGAGGGGTGAGGGAGGGGAGAGGGAGGGGTGAGGGTGGGGTGAAGGCAGAGGACCTTGAGGGGCGGACAGGTGCTATCTGGAGTGCAGTGCTGGTGTGGTGTGGGGATTAAAGTGCTTGTGCTGTGTCCCTCACCTTTGACCCTTTTTTAACCAATTTCCCCCTCCTTTCAACATCCCACAGATCACCTCCCCACCTTCCCCTCTCTCCCCCCCCCCCCTCACCATCTGTTCCCTACTCGTAACACACGGCGTTTTCCTTATACCCTCCCCCCCCCTCCCCCCTCCTTCACCCCCACACTCCCCCTCCCCTCACTCCAGCCCGTCTCCCCGCCCTCGCCCCTCCCCACGCTGCTCACCATCTGCTTCCTTCTCATAACAAGCGGCGTCTTTCATGTCCCTTCCCTAATCTCCTCTCAACCCCCCTTGCCCACCCACCCCCAACCCCTCTTCCCCCTCCTTCCCCCTCTTCCCCCTCCTTCCCCCAGATCGTCTCCCCACCTTCCCCTCTCCCCACGCCCCTCACCATCTGCTCGCTCCTCATGACAACTGGCGTGTCGCCACCCCGCCTGCGCGAGTGGCTGGACTACCATCGGGTGGCAGTGGGGGCGGCGAGGTTTGTCCTGTACCGGCACAGCCGGAGCCACTGGCCGGCA